AGCTAGAACCCCACTTGGGCTCTCTCGGCCCGTGCTGTTTCGGTCCTGCCGCGGCGAGGACGTCTGGAACTCTGTTCCTCCACGTAGACATGTTGGAGCGGGCCCACCGTCGAATAATTCGCAACAGTACAGCTGCTAGAATCGAACAAGGCAGAGCGGGACTCGACGTCCGATAAATATATATTCTCTCACTCCTTCGCTTATGAGCATCCATGATGTGAGTACTTTCTCCGTTTCTTTTTTAGTCTTCATATAAGATTTGATCAAAGTCAAATTTTATAAAGTTTGATCAACTTTGTCGCAAAAAACATCAACATTTGCAATACTAAAGTTATATGGTATCAAAGTTAGTTTCATGATGTATCTAACAATATTGATTTCATATTATGAATCTTTATATATTTTTCTATAAGCTTAGTCAAAATTGATAAAGTTTGAATTTTGACCAAATCTCATATATACAGATTAAAAAGAAACGAAGGGAGTACGTACGTAGTAGAGAGCACCCGTTTTTCTATGCCCCCATCTTCTGGTGCAGAAGCGACAAGCAGAGAGAGAGCATCTTCTGGTGCAAAAGCGACAAGCAGAGAGAGAGAGAGAGAGAGATTAGTCTCGTCGAGGCCGAGACCGGTTCCGTCCCGTTCAGACTTGGGCCATCTGTTGTTCCAATTCCAAAGCGGCCCACCGCGGAGTCGAGTCAAAGAATGATTGACCCCAGCTCAAAAAAAAGAAGAAGAGAATGATTGACCCGGCACTAGCACCACTCTAAAATACTGCATCAGGGCCCCCACTCTGGATATCATATCATTAGCCGGAAACCGTCCCCGACAGCCGGGGCCCGCGCCGCACCGATCGCCATCGGCCGGGGAGACCACCGATCAAGTCGAGTCTGAGTCGGGTCGACCAGAGGCCCCTCACGACCGCACGCGCTGCCTGGGACGGAATGGAATACGACGCGGACCGCTACCGTCCGGCCCGGCGTCCAGCTGTGGGCACGATCGACCGACGTGGCGATGCTTAGCGCTAAAGATCACAGAGCATGCCACGTGTGCTGCTGATGATGCCACGAAACGAGGTGATGCCTCCGGCGTCCAGCTGATGGCACGATCGACGTGGCGACGCTGAGAGTGTGTGTGCCACGACTGCTGATGCTAGTAAGAAACAGGAAATCTTTGTGATGTTAGGCTCATCGCTTGGCCTCCGGCATGCATCCCGTTCGAATGGCATTTTTTTTCCTTTTGAGCTGGAAGCACAGCGTTCCGTTAACCATATACATCCGGCCAAACGCTGTGATCGCAACCTCGTGTTACAAATTCTTGGGCAAGAAGCCACGCGGAAAGTAGTACTCCTAGGGAAGCTTGTCTGCAGCTACAAAAACTGAATCTCCTGCACTGCTCGAGCAACGCTGGACGTACTACTACCGGGCTCGTGGGCTCAGCGGCTCTTTTATTACTGTTTCGAGTTGGATTTACCGTGCTCTCCTAGCGCATGGCGCCTACGGCAGCAGGAGTAAATAAACACCATGAATGCATCCGTCGGGCGCACGTCAGTCGGTTCCGTAGCGTGCGCCAAGTCTGGGCACCAAAGTTACTCCTCCTGCGCTCCGGTGCCTTAACTGCCGCAGTTACGTGAAGTGTCGCCCCAGGCAGCCTCCATCGTCAGACACGCAAAATGAAGTAATGAACCCCGCGCGTGGCCAAACAAAAACCCATGACCTCACCGCCGGCCCAAGCAAACTCTCGTACACCGCCGGAGCGTCCGCGCGGGCGGCGTGACGCCAGTGAAGCCCGGCCGCGGGGATTCAAAATCAGCGGCGGCGCAAATTCAAAATCAGGCCGAGCCTCCCTCCGACTGTGCCCTCCAGCTCACCGCCAGCGCCCGTCCGTCCGGTGCCGCCCATCACTGACGCACGGCCCACACCCACTGCCAAGTGCCGCGCCTACATAAACCCCGGCAGCCCCCCCGCTCTCGCCACGACACGGCCACGCCCACTCCACTTCACTCTCCATCCCCCAGCTGCCGCCCACCCAAATCAAAATCACCTCCACCTCCGACGGTACCTCGGCACGCCGTCTGTCCGGCTCCCTCGCGTGCGTGCCATGAGGAGCCTCGTGGCCGTGCCCGTCCTCCTCCTCCTGGCGCAGCTGCTCGGCGCGTGCCACGGGCAGGAGCAGCGGAAGAACTACGTGGTGCATCTCGAGCCCAGGGACGACGAGGGGAGCGCCGCTCTCCCGGTCGAGGACTGGCACCGTTCCTTCCTGCCGGAGGCCGCGCCCAGCTCTGCCGGCGACGGCGGGGCGGACGCCGGGCCCAGGATCATCTACTCCTACAGCCACGTGCTCACCGGGTTCGCCGCGCGGCTCAGCGACGCCGAGGCCGAGGCGCTGCGGGGCCGGGCGGGCTGCATCAGGCTCTACCCCGAGGTGTTCCTCCCGCTGGCCACCACCCACTCGCCGGGGTTTCTCGGCCTGCAGACCGGCAACGACGGCTTCTGGAGCCGCTCTGGGTTTGGCCGCGGCGTGGTGATTGGGCTCGTCGACACCGGCATCCTGCCCAGTCACCCGTCCTTTGGGGACGCCGGGATGCCGCCGCCGCCCAAGAAGTGGACGGGCGCGTGCGAGTTCAAGGCCATTGCCGGCGCGGGGGGTTGCAACAACAAGGTCATCGGCGCGCGCGCGTTCGGCAGCGCCGCCGTCAACGACACGGCCCCGCCCGTCGACGACGCCGGCCACGGCACCCACACGGCCAGCACAGCCGCGGGAAATTTCGTGGAGAACGCCGATGTCCGTGGCAATGCGCACGGCACGGCGTCCGGCATGGCGCCGCACGCGCACCTGGCCATTTACAAGGTGTGCTCGCGCAGCCGGTGCTCCATCATGGACGTCATCGCCGGGCTTGACGCCGCCGTCAAGGATGGGGTGGACGTGATCTCCATGTCCATCGACGTCTCCGACGGCGCGCAGTTCAACTACGACCTCGTCGCCGTCGCCACGTACAAGGCCATTGAGCGTGGCATCTTCGTCAGCGCCGCCGCCGGCAATGCCGGGCCGGCCGCCGGGAGCGTCTCCAACTGCGCGCCCTGGATGCTCACTGTCGCGGCCGGCACCACGGATCGGGCGATACGCACCACGGTGAAGCTCGGCAACGGCCAGGAGTTCGACGGCGAGTCCCTGTTCCAGCCCCATAACAACTCCGCCGGGCGCCCGCTCCCGCTCGTGTTCCCCGGCGCCAGCGGCGACCCGGACGCCCGCGGCTGCAGCTCCCTCCCCGACTCGGTGAGCGGCAAGGTGGTGCTCTGCGAGAGCCGGGGCTTCAAGGAGCACGTCGAGCAGGGGCAGACCGTGAAGGCGTACAGCGGCGCCGGCATGATCCTCATGAACAAGCCGGAGGAGGGGTATACCACCTTCGCCAACGCGCACGTGCTGCCGGCGTCGCACGTCAGCAACGCCGCCGGCTCGAAGATCACCGCCTACTTCAAGTCGACGCCCAGCCCCACGGCGAGCATCACGTTCAAGGGGACGGTGCTGGGCATCTCCCCTGCCCCGACGGTGGCCTTCTTCTCCTCCCGCGGGCCGAGCAAGGCCAGCCCCGGCATCCTGAAGCCGGACATCAGCGGGCCGGGGATGAACATCCTCGCCGCGTGGGCGCCGAGCGAGATGCATCCGGAGTTCATCGACGACGTGAGCCTGGCCTTTTTCATGGAGTCCGGCACGTCCATGTCCACCCCGCACCTGAGCGGCATCGCCGCCGTCATCAAGAGCCTGCACCCGAGCTGGTCCCCGGCGGCCATCAAGTCGGCGCTCATGACGTCCTCGGACCCCGCGGACCACGCCGGCGTGCCGGTGAAGGACGAGCAGTACCGCCGGGCGAGCTTCTTCACCATGGGCGCCGGGTACGTGAACCCGTCGCGCGCCGTGGACCCGGGCCTGGTCTACGACCTCTCGCCCAACGACTACATCCCGTACCTGTGCGGGCTGGGCTACGGCGACGACGGCGTGAAGGAGATCGTGCACCGCCGCGTGGACTGCGCCAAGCTGAAGCCCATCACGGAGGCGGAGCTCAACTACCCGTCGCTGGTGGTGAAGCTGCTGTCGCAGCCGATCACCGTCCGCCGCACCGTGAAGAACGTGGGCAAGGCCGGCTCGGTGTACACGGCCGTGGTGGACATGCCCAAGGAGGTGTCGGTCACGGTGCGCCCGCCGATGCTGCGCTTCTCCAAGGTGAACGAGAGGCAGAGCTTCACGGTGACGGTGCGGTGGGCCGGGAAGCAGCCGGCCGTCGCCGGCGCCGAGGGGAACCTCAAGTGGGTCTCCCCGGAGCACGTGGTGCGGAGCCCCATCGTGGTGCCGCCGGCCAAGGTGGTCGCGTAGGCGTTGGGTCGGTAGGGAGGGGTTCGGCTCTCGGCGTTGCTCGTAGGCGTGCGTGACAGAGGGTAAGAGCATTGCGTTGTATAGGGTGGCGCGGTCGATTAATTAGGCGCGTGCGTACTTCGTCGAGCGCCGCCGCCATTGCGACGGCGCAGCAAGCTCGGCTGCGACGTTTGCCATGGCGGTGGGTGTATAGTGCAAATAATGGAATTTATTATTAACCCGTGAAATGTAGCAATATCTGATGACTGTTCCATTGCACACTGGCAAGAGATCTATCGATCGAAAGCAGAGCATTTCAATTCTCTCTTCAGAACGGAAAAACAGAGCGTTTCTCTTCTTCAGACAAAAACAGAGCATACTCTGGTTGGTCCATGGGACCAGTGGCATCATCTGACTGTTCCATTGCACTTGCACATTGGCAGGAGATTGGTCGAAGCAGCACATCTCATTTCTTTCTTCAGATCTCTATATATATTCTTTTTCAGGAATGAACAGACAGAATGAAAGACATCTTGGACAGATCTTCGCACTTTACATTCTCGTGCTTCTTACCCTTGGGTTGTTATTGGAGATTCCAACAAAATTTTGTACCCTCATGAAAAGGATGGAGGTAACCCAAGACCAAATGCAATGATGCAAGAGTTTCGGAATTGTTTGGAAGAATGTGGTTTACAAGATTTGGGAAATATTGGCGACTGGTTCACATGGAGGATAGGGGAGGTTAGGGAAGGACTTGATAGGGTTGTATGTAATGTGGAATGGTCAAATAAATTCCCAAAAGCAGCCATTATCAATGAGGAACATGTGCATTCAGATCACCGTCCCTTAATCCTTGACACAAAATATTTTGATGAGAATATTTTTAATTGCGCAAAAGGCCGTGTGAAGCAATTTGAGGCTAGATGGCTCAAAGAAGAGACTGTTGGAGAAATTATACACACAACATGGGAAAAGGCTAAATTACTGGGTGTTGGCCCGTCTCTCGCTGCTCGTACATGGGCGGTGCAGGCTAACCTACACACTTGGGACCGAGAGATTCTAAAAGGATCAAAGCAAAGAATTAATAAAATAAAAAATGAGTTGGAGAAATTGAGGCGGGACCTATGAATGTGGAGTCTCACTATTGCCAAAAGGAAGTTCTAGCCCTGATTGAGCATTTGTTAGATCAAGAGGAGATTTTTTTTGGTTACAAAGAGAAAGAGCTAACATTTATGCATGGGGATCATAATATATTTTCTTTTTCATAATGCCGCAACGGCGAGAAAGAAAAATAATAACATGAAAAAGCTTCTTGATGACACTGATGTTTGGCGGCAAGGAACGGAGTTAAAGGACCATATCAAGGGCTATTTCTCAAACCTTTTTACCTCTGAAATGGGGCAACCGAATATGGAAGTTTTATCTCTTGTTATGAGAAGAGTGCCAATGAGATGAATAATGCCCTCCTTGCGCCCTATACGACTAATGATGTTCGTAGAGCTCCTTTTGATATTGGAGATTTAAAAGCCCCAGGCCCTGACGGTCCCCATGCTATTTTTTCTAAAAGATTTTGGCCTATGCTTAAGGATGATCTTGTTCAAGAAGTTTTGCAAGCGGTGAATACTTGTACTATTCCTGATGGATGGAATGATATTGCGACAGCGATGATCCCAAAGGTTAATTCACCAAAAAAAACCAATTCAGACCAATTAGCCTTTGTAATATTGTGTACAAGATTATATCAAAAATGGTGGCCGCTCGTTTGAAGGTGTTTCTCCCAGAAATTATCAGCCCGACTCAGAGTGCTTTTGTGTCTGGAAGAATAATTTCTGATAATATAGTGGCCTATGAATGTTTTCACAAAATATAAAATAGGAGGGAAGGAAAGGAAGGAAGGATTGTGTGCTATCAAACTTGACATGCACAAAGCGTATGACCAGGTTGAGTGGGTTTTTCTGAAGGAGATTATGTTGAAATTGGGCTTCCAAGAAAGTTGGGTCAATTTTATTATACAATGTGTTTCCACTGTAGAATATCGGGTTAGGTTCAATACGAAAGAATCTGCAAGCTTTCAGCCCTCCAGAGGATTACGACAAGGAAACCCGTTATCTCCTTATTTATTTTTGTTATGTACTGAGGGCCTGGCCGCTCTGTTGTCACATGCAGAGGAGACTAGGAAAATTGAAGGTGTGAAGGTATGTAGGGAGGATCCATTTATTACGAATCTTATATTTGCGGATGACTCATTGATCCCGATGAAAGCTAACATACACAATGCTGAGGCTTTGAAAGCCATTCTGGATTCGTATTATACCGCCTCTGGGCAAATGGCGAGTGTTGAGAAATCAGACATATTTTTTAGCCCCAACACGAGAGTGGATATCAGGGAACAAATTTGTACCACTCTCAATATTATGTCTGAAGCTCTAAATGATATATATTTGGGCCTACCAGCTAATGTGGGTATAGACAAGTCTGACTGTTTCCAGTACTTGATTGACCGTATCATCATGAAGATAAGTGGATGGGAAGAGAAACTTCTATCCGCGGGAGAAAAGGTGATCCTCTAGAAATCTGTTGTACAAGCAATCCCCACCTGGCCACATATGCGATGTCCCTCTTTAAAATCCCTAAAAAACTTGCAAGGGAAACACTGATTGTTGGAAATATGCCCTAGAGGCAATAATAAATTAGTTATTATTATATTTCCTTGTTCATGATAATCGTTTATTATCCATGCTAGAATTGTATTGATAGGAAACTAAGATACATGTGTGGATACATAGACAACACCATGTCCCTAGTAAGTCTCTAGTTGACTAGCTCGTTGATCAATAGATGGTTACGGTTTCCTGACCATGGACATTGGATGTCGTTGATGACGAGATCACATCATTAGGAGAATGATGTGATGGACAAGACCCAATCCTAAGCCTAGCACAAGATCGTGTAGTTCGTATGCTAAAGCTTTTCTAATGTCAAGTATCATTTCCTTAGACCATGAGATTGTGCAACTCCCGGATACCGTAGGAATGCTTTGGGTGCACCAAACGTCACAACGTAACTGGGTGGCTATAAAGGTGCATTGCGGGTATCTCTAAAAGTGTCTGTTGGGTTGGCACGAATTGAGACTGGGATTTGTCACTCTGTGTAATGGAGAGGTATCTCTGGGCCCACTCGGTATGACATCATCATAATGTGCACAATGTGACCAAGGAGTTGATCACGGGATGATGTGTTACGGAACGAGTAAAGAGACTTGCCGGTAACGAGATTGAACGAGGTATCGGGATACCGACGATCGAGTCTCGGGCAAGTATCGTACCGATAGACAAAGGGAATTGTATACGGGATTGATTGAATCCTTGACATCGTGGTTCATCCGATGAGATCATCGTGGAACATGTGGGAGCCAACATGGGTATCCAGATCCTGCTGTTGGTTATTGGCCGGAGAGTTGTCTCGGTCATGTCTACATGGTTCCCGAACCCATAGGGTCTACACACTTAAGGTTCGATGCCGCTAGGGTTATAGGGAAAGTATGTACGTGGTTACCGAATGTTGTTCGGAGTCCAGGATGAGATCCCGGACGTCACAAGGAGTTCTGAAATGGTCCGGAGGTAAAGATTTATATATGGGAAGTCCCGTTTTGGTCACCGGAAAAGTTTCGGGTGTTATCGGTAACGTACCGGGACCACCGAGAGGGTCCCGGGGGTCCACCAGGTGGGTCCACCAGCCCCAGAAGGCTGCGTGGGCCAAGTGTGGGAGGGGACCAGTCCCAGGTAGGCTGGTGCACCCCCCCACCAAGGCCCAAGGCGCAGGGAGAGTGGGAGGGGGCAAACCCTAGGTCCAGATGGGCCTTAAGGCCCACCCTAGGGCGCCCCCATCTCTCCCTCTCCCCTCTAGCCGCCACCCTAGATGGGATCTAGGGCTGCCCCCCCTTGGGGAGGGAACCCTAGAGGGGGCTCAGCCCCTCCCCTCCCCTATATATACTTGAGGTATGGGGCTGCCCAACATATGTGATTTGATCTCTCTCTTGCTGCAGCCCTACCCCTCTCCCTCCTCGTCTCTCGTAGTGCTTGGCGAAGCCCTGCTGGAATACCGCGCTCCTCCACCATCACCATGCCGTTGTGCTGCTGCTGGAGGGAGTCTTCCCCAACCTCTCCCTCTCTCCTTGCTGGATCAAGGCGTGGGAGACGTCACCGGGTTGTACGTGTGTTGAACGCGGAGGCACCGTTGTTCGGCGCTTAGATCGGAATCGACCGCGATCTGAATCGCTGCGTGTACGACTCCACCAACCGCGTTCTTGTAACGCTTCCGCATTGCGATCTTCAAGGGTATGAAGATGCACTCCTCTCTATCGTTGCTAGTCTCTCCATAGATTGATCTTGGTGACACGTAGGAAAATTTTGAATTTCTGCTACGATCCCCAACAGTGGCATCATGAGCTAGGTCTATGCGTAGTTTCTATGCACGAGTAGAACACAAGTTGTTGTGGGCGTCAATTTTGTCAATTTACTTTCCGTTACTAGTCTTATCTTGATTCGGCGGCATCATGGGATGAAGCGGCCCGGACCGACCTTACACGTACGCTTATGTGAGACTGGTTCCACCGACTGACATGCACTAGTTACATAAGGTGGCTAGCGGGTGTCTGTCTCTCCCACTTTAGTCGGATCGGATTTGATGAAAAGGGTCCTTATGAAGGGTAAATAGAAATTGGCATATCACGTTGTGGTTTTGGCGTAGGTAAGAAACGTTCTTGCTAGAAACCTATAGCAGCCACATAAAAACTTGCAACAACAACTAAAGGACGTCTAAGTTGTTTTTGCAGCATATGCCGTGTGATGTGATATGGCCAAAAGGATGTGATGAATGATATATGTGATGTATGAAATTGATCATGTTCTTGTAATAGGAATCACGACTTGCATGTCTATGAGTATGACAACCGGCAGGAGCCATAGGAGTTGTCTTAATTTATTTATGACCTGCGTGTCAACATAAACGTCATGTAATTACTTTACTTTATTGCTAACCGTTAGCCATAGTAGTAGGAGTAATAGTTGGCGAGACAACTTCATGAAGACACGATGATGGAGATCATGATGATGGAGGTCATGGTGTCATGCCGGTGACAATGATGATCATGGCGCCCCGAAGATGGAGATCAAAAGGAGCAAAATGATATTGGCCATATCATGTCACTATTTGATTGCATGTGATGTTTATCATGATTTACATCTTATTTGCTTAGAACGACGATAGCATAAATAAGATGATCCCTCGCCATAATTTCAAGAAAGTGTTCCCCCTAACCGTGCACCGTTGCTAAGGTCCGTTGTTCTGAGGCACCATGTGATGATCGGGTGTGATAGGTTCTAACGTTCGCATACAACGGGTGTAAGCCAGATTTACACATGCAATACACTTAGGTTGACTTGACGAGCCTAGCATGTACAGACATGGCCTCGGAACACAAAAGATCGAAAGGTCAAACATGAGTCGTATAGAAGATACGATCAACATGAAGATGTTCACCGATGATGACTAGTTCGTCTCACGTGATGATCGGACACGACCTAGTTGACTCGGATCATGTATCACTTAGATGACTAGAGGGATGTCTATCTAAGTGGGAGTTCATTAAATAATTTGATTAGATGAACTTAATTATCATGAACATAGTCAAAAGGTCTTTGCAAATTATGTCGTAGCTTGCGCTATAGTTCTACTGTTTTAGATATGTTCCTAGAGAAAATTTAGTTGAGAGTTGACAGTAGCAACTATGCGGACTGGGTCCGTAAACTGAGGATTGTCCTCATTGCTGCACAGAAGGATTATATCCTTAATGCACCGCTCAGTGTGCTGATCCTCGAGCGTCGTCTATAGATGTTGGGAAACATCTGACATACACGTTTTGATGACTACGTGATAGTTCAGTGCGTAATGCTAACGGTTTAGAATTGTGGCACCAAAGACGGTTTTTGAAACATCGCAGAACATATGAGATGTTCCAAAGACTGAAATTGGAATTTCAGACTAGTGCCCACGTCAAGAGGTATGAGACCTCTGACAAGTTTCTTAAGCCTGCAAACTAAGGGAAAAAAACTCAATCATTGAGCATG